GGTTGGGGGGGTCCAACCCTTGTCCATTTTCCGTTCGTGAAGGGTTGGGGGGTCAAACCCTTGTCCATTTCCCGTTCATGAAGGGTTGGGGGGGTCAAACCCTTGTCCAGTTGCCGTTCATGAAGGGTTGGGGGGGGCTAAACCCTTGTCCACTTGCCGTTCATGGAGGGTTGGGGGGTCAAACCCTTGTCCATTTGAGGGCCGTTCATGAAGGGTTGGGGGGTCAAACCCTTGTCCATTTGGGAACTGGCCAAAAAGGAGGAACCCAGAGATCGGCCGACAGCCTAATGAAATGGCACATTTTATAAGCAGAATTTGGTAACAGAAATTCAGCTGTCAACTTCCTGGAAAGGAACACCCGCCAAGTCGTGAAGGGTTGGGGGGTCCAACCCTTGTCCATTTGCCGTTCGTGAAGGGTTGGGGGGTCAAACCCTTGTCCATTTGAGAGCCGTTCATAAAGGGTTGGGGGGTCAAACCCTTGTCCATTTGCCGTTCATGAAGGGTTGGGGGGTCAAACCCTTGTCCATTTGCCGTTCATGAAGGGTTGGGGGGTCAAACCCTTGTCCATTTGCCGTTCGTGAAGGGTTGGGGGGTCAAACCCTTGTCCATTTGCCGTTCATGAAGGGTTGGGGGGTCAAACCCTTGTCAAAGGGTTGGGGGGTCCCTTGTCCATTTGCCGTTCATGAAGGGTTGGGGGGTCAAACCCTTGTCCATTTGCCGTTCCAGGGTTGGGGGGTCCAACCCTTGTCCATTTGCCGTTCATGAAGGGTTGGGGGGTCAAACCCGTGTCGAAAGGAAGTGCCAGCAAAAACCCTCGGGTTTAGGGTTTCTCCTTTATACCACTCCGTGGGAGGTGCCCGAGGGGCCGGCATGCATGGTGCCAGTCGCCTAGCTTTACCTAGGCTCCGCGTACGCGTTTTCTGCCGCTCGCGAAGCTCGGGCCGCTTCGGGCTCCGCGGTGGCGGTTGTCGAGCCCTCAGCGAAGACTTTAGGGTTTAGGGTTTAGGGTTTAGGGTATTTCTGGGACGGGGAACCACTACTGTTCATGTGTTTGAGGGTTTTCGGGTTGAGGGAACAGGGTTTAGGGTGGATTGTGTAAGGCGTTACATAGAGGCCTGATCAACAAGTACTTATAACGTTTCTTGTAGCCACTAAGTAACGATACCATAAGATGCACCAAAGCCCTGTCGAAATTACGGAGGCCCCTGTACATGCAACACGGTGCTCGGATTGTCTCCTGTTTCGGGCATTGCTAGTATTCTTAGGTTTGGCATACCCTATAGACCCGAAGATCGTCCAAGTTTGGGGTGTAGGAAAAGGCATATGGGAGTTTCCGAAAATAGGGGGTAGCTTATTTTGGGATCCTTATAACAAGGATCCTACTAGTTAAGGTACTATATTAGGGCCCCCCCCATTTTCGGACATCCCCATATTCCTTCAGCCAAATATGGCTTCTACGATATTTCTTGTATAGCGCTTCTGCTTAGGGGTACGACGGGAATGAGGCTGTTGGGGCTTCCAGCTGAGGGTTTGGGGATTAGTGTTTATGAGCTTGCTTTGGGATTTAAGTTGTGTTTCCGATGTTGATATTCACAGTGATCCGGATTCTCTCTCCAGTTCGCTTATAGGTAGGACCAGGGCTAGTGGTGGGGTCATGTGACTGCCCGAGCTTGAGCCCGACTAGGTTGGGGATCGCAATATCTTTCTAACACTGTTCCATCGGGTTCTTTACTAGAACAGTATATATAATTGTATAATATGACGAAGACCCTTTTCTAGTTACGCCGCCCTTGCAACTCACAACTGCACACAGTGAGCCCTCCCCTCACCCCCAAAGCATGATCCCGCAACACCTGAAGCCACAACGTGCAGCTCTAGCATGCCTAAAAGCCCTTCCAGTTTAACACAAGCATTGCAGATCTGGGCCCTCAAACGACATTTCCATCTTCCATGCAAACTGATGGAGCTTCTACTTGTGATGCAGATCCTTTCACACCTCATGAAGCCTTAAAACTCCTGAACCCCAAGCCTAAAAACCCTAAAAACCCTGAACCCGAGACCTTATATGATACCCTTGAAACCCTAAACCTTACCACTTGCCGCAACCGTTTCGGCACACAGTTTTGGCCTAGAGGGGGCCGTGGTTTTCCTTTACTGAGGCCAGGGGAGCAGTGTAACTTCAGGAGGGTAGTGTCCCAAAGGGTCCAAAGTACCTTTATAGTAGGATGTAGGGTTTCTATATTAGGAATTACTATTATGATTTGGGGAAGTATCCCCCATAACAGTACTTTGGGCCCTTTGGGTGTTTAGAAGGGGCCCCCACCCTGTAATGGTGGTATAATAGGAATATAATAGGGACCTAATATAATCCGTATAGTCACTATTACAGGGTGGGGGCCCCTTCTAAGCTAGTGTCCAGGGTTTGGGGTTCCCAGTTTGGGGGTTGGGGGAGTGGGGTTTGCCCCAACTACCATCCAATATACCCCAAATACCTACTATTAAGAGCCATCAGGGCTCCATTGAAGGGCCATTTGGCCATTGGGGTGTTTGCTTGTTTGTTTAGGGGTTTGCGCTTCGAGTCCTTCAAGTTTCATCACATGGTTTTTATGAGAGCTGAGTACAGTTTGCAAGCTCATCTCGTATACCCGAAAATATGAAGCCCTCACCTATCCCTAGAGCCACTTCTTGTGAGGGCGGAAGCAACAGATCTACTCCTAGTCATCACGGGATTGGGATCGTAGCATCTGTAGGTTAGTGCTTGGGCAAGTCTGGGATTGCAGTAGAAGCCAGAGAAATCATCCTAATGCCCTGACTATAGCGGTTCCGGGATCCCGGCACTAATCACCTTTCGCTTCTTTTCCAACTCTCCCGAGGTTCCTTTCTTGGGTACTGGGACCGCCAGGGTCAAACTAAATGCTAGGTTGGGATTCATATTGAACGCCTGAAACCCTAAAACCTTAGGCTTTGGGGGTTTGGGAGCCTTTTCGGAGGATTCTCATAGGCCTGAGGCGAAGATATTTCTGGAGTTTAGGGGTGTAGGGTTTCCCTGATGCGAAGCTGTGTTTAGGGTTTAGGGTTTCGCTATTGGTTCGATGAAGTGTCGGACATCAGGGAAAGGGACATCGCGAACTTCAAGCACGAGCAAGCACGAGGCAAGAACAGCTCACCTTTCACCATGGTTGGCACAGCAGCTGCTCGACCCAATCATTTTAAAGTGTGACGGACAGGAATCAAAGAATGGACGAAGGCAAACCTGAACTAGCTCCAGAGTGGAAATATCAGGCGTCCATCAACGGCATGACGCTATGGAAGGAAGTGGTCCTAGTCCATGATTTCGCTTCCCAGGAAGGGCACATTGCCGCCAAACCCCAAATTGGGGTAAGGCTACGTAACCCTAATTAGGGTCCCTCAATTTGTACCGAGTGTTTTTTGGTGGGGTTTCCTGAGCCAGAGCAAACGGTGCCATCATTGCACTGGTAATCACCGGCATGAGTTGAACCCCCAAGTTAAACCCAGAGGGTCCGTATATACTACCATTATGGAATTTGGCACAAAAGACCATCCCCATTATGGTTTTGGGGACCTAATTCCATGATAGTAGTTTAGTAGTGTATATGAACCTTTTTGGCTAGGACCCGGAGTAGGCCCTTATTCCCTTTTTTCGGGTTTAGGTTCCCTTATAACCCCCTTTAAACCAAAAAGGGCACCCTTTTTATTCCTAGGTTACTCTTGGGTCTAGTTGGGAAGAAGGTCTGAATCGATTCGGAGGCTCTATGGGATCCGAGTCTTCTCTTGTTTGTAACTAGCTGCCCCATGAGTTTGAACTGCTCAATGCAAACACCTCCTGAACCCTATACACCCTATAAGCCCTAAACCCTCTAAACCCTAAACCCTGTAAACCCTAAACCCTAAACTTCTAAACCCTAAATCCTAAACTTCTAAACCGTAAACCTTAAATCCCAAATCCTAAAGTTCAACTGCCAAATCCGAAACCCGAAGCGCCCTCGGCGCCAACTTCCGACTGGAAGCTCCAGTTCCGTGACCGTCAGTTTAGGGCTTACCTAGGTTTAGAGTTTAGAGTTTGGGGTTTAGGGTTTCGGGGTGTAGGGTTTAGGCGGCCCAAAAAGCTACCATTTCAGAGTTTCTCATTATGGTTTCTTGATATAGTTCCCTTAGTAAAGGTAGGTTCTTTTCTGGCTACAGGTAGGGTTTAGGGCAAGCCCCGCTCCTAAATTCTAGATCTCCAACGAGCCCTGCAACCTCAACACACAAGACCTGGGCTGCATGGACAAGCTCTTTACTATTGGTATTTCATTGCCATAGGGTTCCTACTAGCTAGACTACATACTACAATATAAATATACCCTAACCACCATGATTACCAAGCTCCCTACTTGGAGGATCACGGGACTTAGTAAGTAGGGTTGGGAGCTATAAGTACCTCAATTGGAGTTTCAATAACTATAATCATAGTTACCTTATTCATAACCCTTGTTACTAGGTACCGTGATCCGCAAACTAGACCCTAAACCCTAAATCTACGCCCCCCCCCCCTATTTGCCCGCACCCATTTGGAAGCTTGTTTGCTGCCCGGCAGTCTCTCAAGACGGCAGGCCTTTGCAGTTTTGCCTTTGTAGCAAATTTCCCCCTTGTTGCTGATTAGATGCATGTGTGTGTGTATATATATATATATATATATTAAATATGTTATGTATAGATATGCATATATATATATATATAGAGAGAGTATGCTCATATATGCATATGTATATATATATATATATATACACGCACATTCACATGTGTGTATGTATATATATATATACACACATGTATGCATGTATGTATGTATGTATGTATGGTATATATGTATATATGTATAGGGCTGGTGAGGGTAAATCTATAGATCCCTTATAGAACCCTCCCAAGGAACCCTTATATAATCCGTTTAAGGAATCCTTCAAGGAACCCCCAAGTTGCCCCGAGAGGCAGCAGAAATCATGGCGGCCTTTCCTCCGGCACCGGGGGGGCTGCCGGGCTTTCCTGGTGCGGGACTTCCCCAGCCAGGCGGCTTTTAGTGTTTTTGGGGTTTAATGGGGTGAAGGGGGGTTAAAGGGGTTGAAGGGGGGTTTAGGGTTTAAGGGGGTTTAGGGTTTAGGAGGGGTATATGACAGTTTTAAGATTTAAAGTTTTAGGGTCAAGGGGCGGCGGCTTTCTTGTAGAGGCCATACACTATGGCCCACAGACACACCTAAGCATAAGCTATCGAAACCCCAACCCCCAACCCCCTTCCTGCTGAGATTTTGCCTGAGGAAGTTGATGTTTGCATAGGTGCTTTGTGCTCTGAATGAACTTAGAGCATAACTAGAGATTCCTTAGAAAGTATTACTGTTTTTGTTCATATAAAGCCCAAGAGAACCCTAAAGAAAGTTCCGGGACCCTATCAAAGAATCCTAAACCCGAAGCCCTAAACCCTAAATTCCTAAATCCCTGAATCCTAAATCCCTAAACCCTAAACCCTAAATTCTTCAATCCCTGAACCCTAAATCCCTAAACCCTGAGCCCTAAAGGAATTTACGGGGCCTTTGTTAGTTCCTTTTCGGGCTCAGCTCAATGCTTTAGAGCTGGAAGGGCTTGGAGCGGAGTTTGTGGGCTTCAGCGATGCTTAGACACAAGCTTCTATAGGGGTTTCAGGGTTTAAGGGTTCAGGGTAAAGCTTAGGGCTTAAGGGGTTTAGGATCTAAGGTTCTAGAGCCTACTAGGGTTTTAGGGGTAGAGGGTTTGGGGTTTAGGGTTCGGGGGGTTAGGGTGTAGAAGTTAAGGGTTTTTGCATAGGGTTTGGACGGTGCTCACCTTAAGGCTCCATGTGCCCATTAGGGTTCCGCTAAGGGACCCTCCATCTACCCTCCATTAGACCCCAAATGCCCCTTATTTGGGACCATATACCCCTGTTTGAGTGTACAAGGAGGGTCCTGGTATAAGGGTACCCCCTAAACCCTAAACTACCGTAAGGTTCCTTTCAGGAATCCTTGTAGGGTTCTGTAGGGGTACCGTCAGGGTTTTGGGGCTTAGTTAAGGCTCCATGTGCCCATAAGGGATCCTTTAAGGTAAGGATACCATAAGGGCAAGGCTCCATGTCTGAAACGGGTTCTTATATGGGTACTCTGAAAGCCTAAGTATATGTTACATAGGTACATGGGGTCTTAGGGTCAGGAATCTGACTTGTGGCGCTTGTGCCACGGCGTTCTAATTCCGTAGACAGGTCTCGACTTAAGTGTGCCAGGTATCTCGCTAGTAGTAGTAGTCGTAGTCGTAGTCGTAGTCGTAGTCGTAGTAGTAGTAGTAGTAGTAGAAGTAGTAGTAGTAGTAGTAGTAGTAGTAGTAGTAGTAGTAGCAGTAGTAGTAGTAGTAGTAGTAGGAGTAGGAGTAGGAGTAGGAGTAGGAGTAGGAGTAGGAGTAGGAGTAGTAGTAGTAGTAGGAGGAGGAGGAGGAGGAGGAGCAGTAGTAGTAGCGGTAGCGCCCGTGCCAGTGTTCCAACTCAGATCTGCAAGTAGGCACTTCGGAGAGTCTTCTTCTGAACCCTAAAGAAATTCCTGGGACCCTATTAAAGAATCCTAAACCCGAAGCCCTACACCCTTATAGGGAACTCCAGAAAGTTGGAATATGGTTTCATGGTAGGATACCCTATAATTTGCCACAGAAGGGTTAGGATAATCATATTCCAACTTTCTGGCTTTTACCTTAATTCCTAAATCCCTAGGAGGCGGCGTGCCGCCGAGAGGGATGGCGCCCATGAATCCGATGCTGCAGCAGCAGCAACAGCAACAACAGCAGCCTCTCGGTCATATATGGGAGTTTCCGGAAATAGGGGACCCTAATATAGCACCCTAAATAGTAGGATCCTTATTATAAGGCCCCCAGAATACGGTACCCTTATTTTCGGAAACTCCCAGATGGGTAGTTGTCAAAATTAGGGTCCCTTTTTGGGTACCCTAAGTATTAGGTGCCGTAGTATATTGGGGACCCAAAAGAGACCTTAATTTTGACAACCACCCATATAGTTCTGAGTGTTTCGCTGTATCAGCTGTATCTATGTTTAGGATAGCTTGGGAAGGAAGCAAGGTCACAGCAACGCAAGTTCGGCAGGTAATTAGGTCCTGCGGTTTTGGTTTTGGGGCTTACGGTTCGAAATCTGGTGCTTGTTGGTTGCACTATGTAGGGCGCCCCAGTACTTTCTACAGTACACACATATGTGCACCCACAGGAAACCGTCGTCAACATACTTCGGATGCAGTCGGAGCAGACGGATGCGCTTGGAGCAGACATTACCATGGTTTTGTTCTCGTGCTCCGGGGAAGGGATGCCCATGTTGTCGGAGGAGATGTTTTCATTGTTTGAGATGGATGCTCTGGGGAATGGATGTCGTCGCAACTGGTGGGCATGATGCTCTTCATGCTTTGTGCATGTCTAAGAATCGTGAAAGGCGTCGTCTGCAAAACCGTTTGTTGGGTGCCTCGTCCCCCGTGGCGTGAGTCTGCTAGTGGTTTGATGGTATTTGCTGTAGTGCTATGACATGTGAGTTTCAGAACGCACTGGACCCAAACATAGATCCGACATGCCAGGACCACGATACCTAGCACAAGGACCAATACAGTGAAGTCAGAGACCGTTGCGTTCTGGAGCCACCAAATGAAGCCCTGAGCCAACAGGTAGGGGCCCAAGATTTAAGATACTGTGGCTTGTGACCAGGATACGAGAATCCGGGGGTGTGGTTTTTTGGCAGCAGAATTAGGGGCACCTTCTTTTAGGGTCCTTATATGATATGGATCCTACCATTTCAGGCGTTAGATTCGGGCCCCCTGTTTTAGGAAACTCCTATATGAGAATCCGGCGTTTGGGCTTTGTGGGGGCAGTTGGAATGCAACACGACACGTCTGTTCTGACTTGTCTAGCACCCTAAACCCTAAACCCCTAAACCCTAAACCCTAAACTAGATCGCAAACCCCTTGCCTGGTCCCGAAACACTGAAGCCTAAGCCGGCATGACTGACCCAACACACATTGTTTTGCTTATGAAGGCCCCTGTACTAGAGCCTAATATACAGTAATCCTTAGAACAACTCTCAAAGGATTCCTGCAGGGAAACCCTGATCGAAATATCAAGGCCCCTACTTCTACTGAAGCCTTATAGTGATTCTTACCCATCAAGGTAACGATACTGTGATCAGATCATACCCTCAAACCCGATTCTAATGATTAAGGCCGCTTCGTAGTACCTACCTTGGGTCCGACCAAGGCAGTACCTTCAGTACATGATGATGCTGCAAGCGCAGCAGCAACAGCAGCCCCTTGACTGTAAGGTCCCTATAAATTCGTTATTAGGGTGCATCACAAGAGCCTGCATAAGTAGAATATGTTTAAGGTAGGGTTGAGGGAATTCGTTAGGGTGCATACAGGAGCCTGCAGAAGTAAAATATTTTTAGGGTAGGGTTTAGGGCTTCATTAGGGGATCGAAGGTCGATGCTTTCGGGTTCGCTGTGCATCCTTGTCGGCGACGGATTGAGCAGGCCCTTGCGGTGGACTCCTGAACCCATTCCTGAGTCCAATCTCTTCCAACTGGGCTTGGTACTCAAGTTTTCACCAGTCTGCAGCCCCAAGTGCCAAGTGTGCGACTCAACTGAAACCGAAAGCCGTAAAACCCCCAGCGCTAGTCCGTTCAGCCCCATGTTTGTTCCTGAACAGAAGAATCCTCAGCTCTCCACACCTGTAGCCCTAATCCCGAAAGCCACATCGTCCTGAACGAACATAGGGTTGAGGGGTTTTAGTGTTTCGGGGTTTAGGGGTTTAGGATTTCGGGATTTGGGGTTTATAGGGCTTAGGGGTTAGGGTTCAGGGTTTCACCAGGCAGGCTGGATTCTGAAGACTACGCTGTTCAGAAAGGGATCTATAGGGGTTCCTTAAAGGGGATCTATGGGGTTTAGGGTTTAGGGACTTAGTAAGTAGGTTATAAGTAGGGTTATAATTGGGGTAACTCTATTTAGGGTACTTATAACTCTACTTATAACCTACTTGCTAAGTCCCCTGCCCTTCCAAGTACCTCATAAGATTCTAAATATGAACCCCCAAAAGGAGCTACTAGGGGGCCGTAGGGAGAGCATAAGAATGAGGATGAAGCTTCAAGGATATTAGCTTTTGGGAACGTTTGGGACATTTGGGTTCTGATAGCACTATATGTTGAGCAAGGGTTTCATTCTCGGGCTGTTTTGACTGCGCAATATGCAAGTTCCGTGCTGCTTCAGTGGCATCCAGGAAAACTTGTTGTATCCCCCCGGAATCCCCCTACTCTACGTCCCAAACTACGTTCGACCCTCAGAAGCACTACAAGATAGACTTCTGAAGAACTAGTAAAAATATGTAGTAGTATACTCCTTATGCAAACCCTGTTCTAAAGATTGAGACCCCTATACTTGTCTCTAGACCCTAAACCCTCATGCGTCATCATAGGCTTAAGAAAACCCTCATAGCCTAGACTACGGGCGGCAACTTGTTCCGCAGTGCTCGGGTCGCGGACCACCCAGGATCTTCCTCTAGCTCCGGTCATGGCCTAAGGGTTTGGTGCCCAGAGAACCCAATACTCCTTGATTAAGGAATATACCTTAAATTATAGAGGCCTTAATACTATGATTTAAGGTATATTCCTTAATTAAGGGGTATTGGGATCTCTGGGTGTTCAGGGTGCCCTATCATAAACTACAGTATCAACCCGGAACACTATACCCCTAAACCCTAAACCCCTAAACAGTAAACCCCTAAACACAAATAAGCTTCACACCGAAGGCAGGCGCCTACTGCCCCGCCTGCTCCGGCTGCTTCCGACCCAACCGCGCTGCTCCAGCAGCCACTAGGAACAATACGGCTAGGTCCCTGAGTAATACCCTTTTGCCGTTTTCTTTTGGGTTCCCTTACTAAAACCAAAGTGTTCCCTTATGCTTGGGGGGCCACTGGAAACAATAGGGTTTGGAGTTACAGGGTTTAGGTTGCGGGGGTCAGGGTTTATAGTGATAAGATTTAGGGTTCAGGGGGTTAGGGTTTAGGGTTTAGAATTTAAGGTGTATAGGGCTTATTGGGTTTAAGTAGGGTTTACAGCAATCGTATGGTTTACGGCTCGCTGCATCAGCCTGGCAAGTACACGAGGCCGCGCTCACAGTTGACATTCTGGTGAGTGTACGTAATAAAGGAGCCGTAATAATATCTGTACTATTTTGGTAGCTCCTTATCATAATGGTATATTGGGCCCCAAAACCTTATTATAATTATTAAGGCCCCTGTATTATAGAACACTGGTATAGATCCCTTATAGTAGCCCTTAGAGACCCCTTTTTTCAAGGAGCCCTAAGGAACCCTATTCTAATTAGGGCTCCTTTTGAAAACCCTGAGGCTCGCAAACTGGCTTAAAAGCCTCATAGAATACCTGAGTCCCTGGAGCCTTCAGGAAGGAGTTTCTGCTGGGTGAAGGTACATGGGATGACAGTAACCCTATAAGGCTCAAAATGGGTTGTCAAACTTATAGTCCGTTTTGGGTACCCTAGATAAATCGGTGCCGTACGATAATAGGGACCCAAAAAGGGATCCTAATTTTGACAGCCACCCAAATGGCCTACCAGCCTCATAGAATATGGTTTTTCGGCCCGAAAGCCTTGAAATCTGAATCCCTTAGAGCCTTAACTCCCTGCTACTTAGTAGGGAATGGGGGAATGGATCCCTAATGTAGACCCTATACAATCCCCAATAATAGTCCCCATAGCCCATTCCCCCATTCCCTGCTAAGAACCAGACAGCTAAGGAATGAGTGCATTTTATACATCTGGGTGCTTTAGCATGATGCTCACAACCTGCGGCGCCACAGTAAGTCTTAACAGCAACGGTCATGCTAGGAGAATTACTGGCGAAAACTGGTTCAATAGTTGGTGGCAATGGCGACAATGGCAGTTGCTAAAAAGTTGCCATAGCAGTGAAAGGCAATCGTGGCCCTCATCATTTGTAACGTGCCTGCGTCTTTCTCTATCAGGATAACCCTAAACCTTAAACCCTAAACCCTAAACCTTTAGAGTCGTATATCCACCCCTAAGTCCTACACTCTTTCTCAAGCCCCAGGCCTTGCCTAAGCCCTATAAATGGGAGTGTTTAGGGGTACCGTATTTTGGGGTCCTTATAATAAGGATCCTACTATTCCCCTCTTTTCGGAAACTCCCAAATCTTAAACTCTAAACCTTACCCTTCTTCAGGCAAATTCTGCAGCAGATGCAGCAACAGATGGGGCAGCAAGCTCCTCCTCCTCAGCCGGCGGGCGAGGCCCACGGCCTGAATGCCTAAACGCATTTTTGTGGGTAGTACAGGGAACCCCAGAAAGTTGGAATATGGTTTCATGGTAGGATACCCTATAATTTACCATAGAAGGGTTAGGATAATCACATTCCAACTTTCTGGCTTCTACCTTAAGCCAATAAGTACACGGAGGCCACTAATTCAGGATCACGCTTACCAACAACATAATATGTCTCAACCCCCCGATATGCTAGCACCTGTTGAGGGTACTGTAGGATTGAGCTAGCGTTCATGTCTGAGCCCGATCCCAAACCCTACACCTGGTAAGCCTTACATCCTAAAGCCAATATCCTAGCACCTAGTTAGGGGCTTGGGACACGGAGTACAGGGTCGGGTTCAGGATTTAGGATTGAGTCTTCGGGGTCAGGGGTTCAGAGTTTAAATAAGTTTAGGGGTGTTACGAATGAGGCCGGGGCTTCATTCCCTCATCGCCAGAAGATGCCCGCCAAAACCGTAAACAAAGAGGAGGTTAGGTTAACCCCTAAACACCCTGTACTCCTAGTGAAAAGAAGCTTAAAACTTCCAAACCTTCCAACATAAGCCCTTTGCAAGCATCTGTAACAAGTCTGCAAGCCCAACCATACCGGTTGAGGTGCCTGCACTGCCGTCATCCGAGCCTGCAGTCAACGGCGCTTCTAAGGCAAGGTCATTCTTGGGCTTCGTGGAATATGGAAGCCTAGATAATTTGCAACATAGACTTCTTAGGGTTCTTGAACATAGCTTTGCTGTTGTCTGGCTCAAAACCCCACTCCAATTCTGACCATCAAGGCCCTTCAGTAGGCTTCTGTAGAGTCTTATGAGGGTTTGCTGTTGCCTGTCCAGGGTACTACAGGCTGTAATATAGGGCCTTCGGATTGGGTTCCGTTAGGCTAAGGGCTTTACAGATACTCTGCCAGTGGGAGAGATTTCAGCTTTTCGGGGTTAGGGTTTAACCCAAACCCTACATTTGGTCCATATGAGAAGTTGAGCTTGGCGTAGCGGGGTTGGTGAGCGATTATGGCAACCTGGCCAGCATGCCAGTCGCCATGATGGCTGTGTCTCCCTGGCTTAGTGGAGAATGGGGGAATGGATCCCTATAGAACTCCCTATATAATCCCAATAGTAGTCCCCATAACCCATTCCCCCATTCTCTACTAAGGACCAGACAGCTGTGCTTGATGCCGTAACACATGTGCGGCGGCTTGTTATGGTTTTATGTAAATTGAGTCGCTTAGTTCTTTTTCTGCTATAGGGGCTTGAATAATTACCAATGCTCTTTTCGGGGCTCCTTTTGAAGGGTTCCTTGAAGGGGTCTATGAGGGATCTATAGTAGGATTCTATAGAATAATTACCAGTACTATTCTAGGGGTTCCTGATTATGATTATGGTATAACGGGCCCGAAAACCCTATTCTATTCATTAAGGCCTGCAATTATGTTACTCGGCTTCCCGTCTGTTGAGGAGTGCTGACAGAAAACTTCGAGACCCCCAGCCCTCGCCCGAGGGATGTGGGGTATCTGGCTTCAGCAGTCCCAACCCTAAACCCCAAACCCGTAAACCCTCGCCCCTAAACCCTACACCTGAACCCCTAAACTAAACCCCTAAAATCTCTAAACCCTAAATCCTAAACCCTAACTTGTAAACCCTAAACCCTAACTTGAACTGGCAGTTTGCCTCTTCTCGGCCTTGCTGTTTGCCGTATTATACCACAACCTGCTTTGGCTCTTGAATTGAAGAGTTCGACTGGCTGGGTGTAGGGTCAACGTATACGTCCGAGGAGTTGCTGCGAGTGACACTTTAGAATCGAATGATCCCCATTTACAATGACCGTAATGCTATTCACTAGTATTAATTACTCTGTTGTTATCATAACTCTCAGGACTTGTTTCAGTATAAGCTACAACTCTGCTTATGATGATGACGATTATGAATTTTACTGCTGTTTCAACTACAGTTATGTATTAGACATTGATGGCCATTGTTTTGTTTCAGACCTATGGATCATCAGCCGTGCATCAAACAGCTATTGGCTTCCAAGGGTCCAAACTCTGAGTTCTGCCCGAATGACCCACCTCATATCCCGAAACCAAGACCATGAACCTGAACCCTAAGATCTTATTCCCAAATTACACACTAAAGCCGAAAATCTCAAACCCTAAACGTCGTAGGGTTTTAGGGTTTCTCGTTGTTGTGGCAGTCTTCCGGATTCGCCTCTTTTGTTCCGCAGCCCAAACTCCCAATCCCTAAAGCCGTAATGTAGGGGCCTTAATAATTAGAACAGGGTTTTGGGGGCTCCTTATTGCAATTATCGTATAATCATATTACCCCGCTCAAACCCTATTACAATTATTGAGGCCCCGACAGTCTTCCCTAAACTCTGAACCCGAACCTCTAACTCTAAACCTCTCAACCGCCAGGACTCTGTGATTGTTGAGTGCCCTGCGCATCAAGATGTATACTTTGTGTTAAGCCGAGCACGCCCCCGACGGCCTGGCGGAATACTTCACCGGGGAGTCCGACCTCACCGAGCTGCAGGCTCGCATCCGCGAGCTGGAAGGGCAGGCTGCACCGGTACTTGGAGATCATGGGACTTAGTAACTGGGGTTATAAATAAGGTAACTATACTTATAACTCCAATTACAGTACTTATAACCTTACTTACTAAGTCCCATGATCCTGCAAGTACAGAGTGCTATCGCAACGGGGCCTGGCAAGAAGGAGCCAGCGGCTGGGACCCTTTTCCGACTTGGGCCATGGAGCGGGCGACATCTCGCAAGCGGACTGGACCAAGCTAAACCTTAAATGCCCGAAGCCCTGCAGCCTGAGCTCTAAGCCCCCAAACTTTAAACCGGAGCCCAAACTCTACTGGGCCAGAAATCCCAAGCCTTAATCCCAAATCTCATCGCAACCCCAAATCCCAATCCCTCCGTGCCAAACTGCAAGCCCTACGCTGTAACCCCTGAACCACTTATGTAACTCTAAATACCAAAGCCTAAAGCCCGATCCTCAACCTTATAATCCAAACCCTTTTGTAGTTGGAGGGTCATGGGACTTAGTAACCATGGATATATATATATATATATACATATACATATACATATACATATACATATACATATACATATACATATACATATACATATACATATACATATACATATACATACATATATATATATATATATATGTATCAGGCACCTATAGTTGTAATTTAGAATTCCAATTAGGGTACTTATACCTTATATCGCTTTATCCAAAGTCCCATGATCCTCAAGTACATACATCAAAGCCTGAACCCTGCATCCAAAAAGACGCCACGCACCCCAAAAGCTCGGTGCCAAACTCTGATCGCATGCCAAGCCCGAAACCCTGAACTCGTTCTGGGGCGTAGGGTTATAAACCCCAAACGCGAGACGCTGAACCTAAACCCAAAGAAAGCTTTGAAGGCGGCGGACAAGGGCAAGGGCAAAGGGAAGGCGCGACCTCCGAAAATAGGGACCCTAGGGGCTCAGCATGCAACCTTTAACCTTTTGGGGCTCATATAATCCTACTAGAATTCGAAAGGTTAACCTTTTGAGGCTGATAAAGCCTATTCGAAAGGTTAACTTTTTTTGGGCTAGGGTATTCAGCAAATTCAGCACTTCAGGGACACAGGAGCTATAGTGGAGGGTTTCGGGTCGTTTCGGGGCGGGGGTGGGGGGTCAGTGTTCAGGTTTAGGGTTTAGGGGTTAGGGCTTAGGGTTTAGGCTTAGGAATTTCAGTGTTTGGGGTTTCGCGTTGTGGGGCTGAGAGCTTTGCGTTTTTGCCAGCTTGGGTTATAAGTGCACTCCTTCTAAACCAGTTGTCGGTGTCGGATTGCTTAGTAGTGGTATTCCGTAGGGCTCCTTATGCTACAGCATACCTATCATGCATACAATATGCTGGTCGCATATATGTTCGAGTCCTTACAGGCCGGCTTCGTGCGGCTGCGACGCGACAAGGAAGCGGTTTCAGCCGACCACACCAGTCGGCTTGGGAGGTCCCCTAAACCCTAAATCCTAAACCCTAAACTGCGGCTCCTGAGTGCTTCCCAGCGGCTCCAGGGCTCGATGACGCCGCAATCTGGGAGTTTCCGAAAATAGGGGACCCTAATATAGCACACTAAATCGTAGGATCCTTATGATAAGGACCCCCAAAATGAGGCACCTCCTATTTTCGGAAACTCCCATATCGGGCCTGAGAGCCCACAACCATGCACTGTACATCAAGCACATGCAAGCAGAGGCGTACGTCGTCGACGTGTACGGGCTGGAGCAAAGCAGCGCAGATTGGATACCTAAACCTTATAAACCCTAAACCCTAAACAAAAAACCCTAAACCCTACAGCGCAGATTGGATACCTGAATGCAGATTTCCGGGGAGTCGTGACTGCAAGAGCAGAGCTGTGGCAGGCCAGCAATTTCCCCAAGGGTGCAAAGGTTTCGGGTTTAGGGAAGTACCTAATAATCATATACTCTCCAAAATCCTAACCTACGTGGCTAATATCCAAAAGCCGAGTACCCAATTATTGGGTCCTTTGGACCCGTGGGGTAAGGAATAGGAAACCATATACCCTAAACCCTATATCCTACCCTAAACTCTCAACACCTAAACCCTGAACCCTAAATCCCTCAACCCCTAAACCCTAAACCCTGAATCCCTCAACTCCTAAACCCTGACTGGATCCTTTGGACCCTTGGAGTTTTGCCATGAGCGAGAAGAGCTGGAGCTTCCTCTCAAAGATGCCAAGCTAAGATCCTCCGACCAGCTGCGCAACCCTTGCGTTTAGGGGTTCAGGGGTTAGGGGTCTAGGGTTCAGGGGTTTAGGGGTTAGGTGTTTAGGGGTTAGGGGTTTACCGTTTAGGGTTCAGCCCCAAGGGCCCAAGGCTGCAAAAGATCCAATAATTAGGTACTTGGCTTTGGGAGGATAGTAGCTATGTAGGTGAGGATTTGGGAGAGTACATGATTATGATGTACTTGGACCCTTGGGGGAAGATTCAGAACACCAGAGCATTTTCCCAGATAGTGTTATACAACTCAGAAAAATTGTTTATCTTTGCAGCAGGACTTATCAGCATGAATCGGCGATTTAAACAAACGGCGCCGGACATGAAGTCTTGATGAAGGCGAACTGTTAGTCTTATAGCCCCATGCCCCTGCAGAATATATGCACGTAGGTCCCAATGTAAACTTCTCCCCTGAGTCCGAATACACCTAAACCATGAACCACGAGCTGGTCGCCATACGTCCTCCGAAAGACCACAGCCACCTTTCAGACCTTGTCTGAGGGCTTAGGGTTTAGGGTTTAGGGGTCTTGCAGACCCTGCCCTAATGCTCCTGGACCCTCGTAGTGAGATCCCAAAGCCCAAACCCTTCCCCCAGAAAGCCCATGACCCCTTTAGGAGCCTTAGGGTGAGCATTAAACTGCCAACCTTTGGGAGTTAGGGTTCAGGGTTGAAGCCCAGAACCCCGAATCCCAAACTCTCGGAGCCTCTATCAACCCTAAGCCGAAACGCCACAAACTCAGAACCAACCACAGCAAAGCACTGAACTCTACATCCCTAAATCCAGCCTACAGTAAACCCCATAAAGTTGGAAACACGATTAAGGCCAAATAGTGCTGGAATTCCTTATTGTAGAATACTATTAAGGAATGAGGCTATTCTGTTTCCAACTTTTTGGCTTCTACTTGGAGGATCATGGGACTTAGTAGCTGGGGTTATAAATAAGGTAACTATACTTCTAACTCCAATTAGGGTACTTATAACCTTACTTACTAAGTCCCATGATCCTCCAAGTACTGTAAACCCCACACCCAACGATCCCCCAACCCATCCTTAGGGTCCAAAGTGCCTTTATAGTAGAATCTAGGGTTTCTCTATTAGGAATTGCTATTATGGTAGAATCTACGGTTTCGACATTAGGAGTTATAATTATAGTAGAATCTACGGTTTCTAGATTAGGAATTATACTACTATGATTTGGGGAAGTATCCCCCATAACAATACCTAGGACCCTTTGAGCCTTGCAGTACAGGGATCCTACACTGTCAGTCGTCCGCAGGACTTGGGATGTTAGTTTTGTTCGTGGGCCACAAAGCTTTTAGTTTAGGTTGTCGGTTGTAGGGGTTTTAGTACGGTTCTCGGTTTTTCGAGAGGCAGACTTCTCGAAGCCAAGCCTTCCCGATCTGTGCTACAAGCCCCGTCAACACAAACGAGACGTTCCTCCACCCCCGCATCTCGGGAAGGGGAGGAAGAAAAGCTCGAGTGGGCGACGTGCTCAGGGGTTCAAATTGTGGATTGCCGGGTTTAGTTCGGGGCAAACCTTAAATCCCATTTGGGGTTTGTGTTTATAGGGTTCAGGGTTCGTGAATTTGGGTGTCTTGAGTTCCGAGAATGGTTGTAAGGTCCTGGACAAATCGCACCCTCCTTTGCAAGCCTGTTTGGGGTTTAGGGTCTAGGGTTTAGATTTCGTAGGCTATCATGTAATACTCTTCCTCAGGACTCCTCATTATTAAATCTTCCGGCCCTTGTATTGCCCGGCATCCTATATCCAAGATAGTCCAGCATAGCTCTGAAACATTGAAGTCGCCCTTCCTTCCTTTGGAGGTTTAGTGTTTAGGGTTTTAGGGTTTAGGGAGTTCATGTCTTCCAATGGATTTTGGTAGCTTCCCCTCATCCACCCCCAGTGCCC